GTTGCACACAAAGATCATAGTTTTCAAGTTTCCAACTTATTTGGATCCTGACTGTCTTCTTCTTAACAATGATAATGTTGTCTGGGCAAAGAGGAACAGTGTTCGTGGTGACAAACGAAGCCAGGTTGTTGCCTTGGTAAAGGGTGAGGCGCCGGAGAAAATTTTTGTGCAAGGACTAGGCTATAGGAACGTTGCAAAATACGTTGAGGAGCCCATACTGTGCATGAAGTGTTCACGTTGGGGACATATGGCATGGAAATGCCAGTTTGACCCCAGGTGTCGGTATTGTGGGAAAAAACACGACTCGCGAGAGTGTAGAGTCAAGATTGAAAGAAGTGAAAAAATCATCCCATTTTGTTGCAACTGTCGAGGCAGCCACAATGCTGGTTCCTCTCTATGCCCCATGAAGCCTCATCTGAAAGAGACTAGAACGGGTCCTACAAGCAGGATAGATGTATCCTCGCAGCAAGGAAAAATTGTGCAAGAGGAACATGGAGGAAACAGTTGGAAGCCAACGGCAGCCCCTATGATCAATGTGTGGGAAAAAGGGACGGAGAAAGTAAAGGCGAGCTTAGGGAAAGTACATCATGCAGTGGAAAAACTGAAACCTTGTGACGACAAGGTTCAGGACAATATGGTCACCTCTGAGGTTGGTAATCAAATTTTGGAGTACCTAAAAAAACTAGATAAGAGGATTGAGGCATTGGAAAAATTGGCTATGGAAGGTGGACGGGGTGAAGATGGTGGTGAAACAGGACGTGTAATTGAAAGTAAAACGAGACGTGAAATGGAAAGTGAAACGTGCGTAGAAGAAAGTAATGATGTGCATGAGGTAACGATGATAGAGGATAGTCAGGAGAATACACTTTCTAGTAGTGTTAGCGGTGTTCAACCTCCTGTTGTGACAAATGGTGAAAGAACGGTTAAAGTAAAACGGGTTACAGAAATAACAAAGAAAATAGATATGAAAAATATTACCTTCGATGTTAGTAGTAGTTGTGAAAGTACATACAATGTGAGGAGAAAGAAAAAATGTTACGGTGTTGGAAGGAAGTTTCTAAGGTACTCTTGTATCTCATGGAATGTGACGGACAGGGCAAAGGTAGTTTTATTATTAATCATGGATGAAAGTAAATTGAGAATATTATCTTGGAACATTAATGGATTAAAAACTAGAGCGGTGGATGTACACTATTATACTCTTAGAGAGGATATTGACATAGTAGCACTCCAGGAAACTGGGGATAGGGATGGTAGCATACTGAGGCTAAATGGCTATAGAGGCTTTCACTTATATGCTGATGGAGGAACTAGGGGGGTCTCATGTTATGTCAAAAGTACCATACCTGCCGAGATAACTGGAATCCCTCAGAGATATAGAGGTATTGAAAGTATTAGCTTGCGGATACAATTAAAGGACCGAGAGTTAAATTTCATTAATCTATACATCTCTGATAGCTCCCTTGATTTACGATACTTGCCAGATTCCTTCTTTTCTGAAGATACACTTGTGGTAGGGGATTTTAATGCCAGACATCCAGCTTTAGGATCAAGGGGTAAAGCAAATAGGAATGGTTGCAGATGGTACCAGTTTTTGCAGGAACATGAAGATGTTCAACTGCTGGGCGAGCCCTCTCCTACTCATTTGAGGGGAGGGAGATTAGATTATGCTTGTTTAATAAATGCTGAGGGCATAGAGGGGAATTGTCTTACTGTGGATGAAATGCTAAGTGATCATTTTGCATTACAAATACAGCTTAAACTAGATAAAAAGCATGCCTGCCTTCAGAGGAAAAGGTTAAAGTTTAATGAGGGAGAATTAAGGGGTCTTGTTGGCCATATTAAGTCTTGGTATGATACTTATAAGCCGGTTTCGGCAGAAGCATTTTATGAAGATTTAATTAAGGAGGTAGATGTATTTAATGCAACATTGAACCGGAAACCATCTAGTATAAAAAGGCATCCCCCCAGAAAAGAAAATTATACACATGACAAGATGCTTAAGGGGTGGACATTAACAATGAGGAGAGCTCACAGGGATTGGAATAGGAATGGTAGGACTGAGGAAGGGAAGAATGCTTTACTGGCAGTTGCTAGGCTGTGTGGGGAGAAGAGAAAGGAAATTAGGAGCAAGTATTGGCAGGAATTTGCAGAGAAAGTTGGGAGTAACAGAAACTTGAAGGAAATCTGGCAAGACGTAAATAAAATAAGGGGTAAAAAGCACAATTTTGTTGCACATCCAGACCCGCAAGGAATTGCAAATGGGCTCGTAAATAAATGGGCGGAAGCTGCCAAACTTAGTTCATTACCCGCTGTAACGAGAGAGTCATTAGATTCTTGGAAAGATCTAAGAAAGGATTTTATACTTATAGCAGGTAACAGTGGTGATGTCACTTGCACAGGTATTACCAGAGAAGAACTAATAACGGCGATTAAAGTTGGGAAATCTACCGCACCTGGGGAGGATGGAGTAACTTATGAAATACTTAATGAACTTGCCATTATGACGAAAAGCCCACTTTTAGACCTCTTTAATATTAGTTATAAAGAGGGCAGTATTCCCAGTAAATGGAAAAAAGCTATGATCATCCCTATCCCTAAAGCCAATGGAGAGTATAGACCTGTGTCTTTAACCTCGTGTTTTTGTAAAATGATGGAGAGGATCATTTTAAATAGACTTTTATATATAATAGGTGATCAGCTGTCTAGTAATTTGTTCGGGTTCCTCAAAGGAAAAAGTACCTCTGATTGTATTATTAAATGTCTAGCTAATGAAAATGATTATTATAGAATTTTCATTGATTTACAAGGAGCTTTTGATAAAGCCAACAAAGAGGTTATTTTATATGAATTAGCTAGTCTTGGTGTTAAAGGGAAATTATTGCGCTGGATAGGGGATTATCTTTACGAAAGGAAGGCTCAGGTGTGGTATCAAGGTTGTATGTCAGGTGTGAGGTCTTTTGAACTCGGCACACCTCAGGGAGGAGTGTTGAGTCCCACCCTGTTTAATGTACTAATGAATAAGATAGCATCTGAGAGATACTCAAATGGGGTAACTCCGATCATATATGCCGATGATATTTTGTTTCAGGGCAAAGATATTTCAAAGGTTCAAACAGTGTTGGACAATTTCGGAAACCTGTGTCACCATATGGGATTGGTGGTTAATGAAAACAAAACTAAGTTTGAATGTAGAAGTCGGAGCCCCATTGTTTTGAAAATAAACGATAAAAATATAGAGAGAGTTAATATATATAAATATTTAGGCATATATGTTGGATATACCCATGAGAGTTTGGAAGCTGAGATGAACAGACTGTTGGGTCAATGTCGGAAGAGATTACAACCTCTGAAGGCTTTGGCATGCTGTGGAAAGGGAGTGGGAGTCCCTGTGCTACGAATGTTATACTTGAGTACTGTAAGATCTCTTATTGATTATGCTGCACCTGTCATTTCTTGTTTTGGTAAAGGTAGGATGGGCAAGTTGGAGAAGGTACAAAATGAAGCAATGAGAATTATCTTAGGATGCCCAAGAAATGCTATGATTGAGATAATGAGGATGGAGTTGAATCTGCAGAGTATTGGGGATAGAATTTCAGAGATAAATGTAGCCTCTGCCATTAGATTAATGAGAGGTGGGGGAGCTAATGAATTAATCCTCTCGGTTCAAAAGGTGGGAAGTAGTGAACAGTGTATGATGAAGAAGAGAGTATATATGAATAAATTATGTTATAATGTTATAAAGTATGATGTTATTACAGAGTGTATTGCTGTGCCCAAGAGAAAATTTACACCACCATGGGAGGATTGTAATGTAGATGTAGTAATTACTCCCTTGCATAAGAAAAAAGTATGTATGAAATAGGAGAGCTGAGGGCAACATATGATTGTATAATTAGAAAACTGCCTACAGAAAACACTCTACATGTATATTGTGATGGGTCAGTAGCTAGGGATGGGAAGGCAGGATGTGGAGTCTTGATCAGGGAGTACACTGACATCGGCACTGTAGATACTGTTATTGGACGCCGCTTAACTGACAATGTCTCTTCAACGCAGGCTGAACTCCAAGGAGTATTAGCAGGATTACAGGAAGTAGTCAAATGTGGTAAAAATGCTTGCTTCTTTATTGACAGCAGAGGAGCGTTAGAGTCTTTAAATAGCAGACGCCCAGTATATCAGAATATTGTGATAGAGTGTAGAGAGAATGTTAAGAGACTAGAAAAAACTGGGTATAAAGTAAGATTCATGTGGATCCCTTCACATGTGGGAATACTGTTGAATGAGGTAGTTGATGACATAGCGAAGAGAGCCACTGAAAAAACTCTTGTTGATGTTGTATGTCAGTTAACACTTGAAACAAATAAAAACAAGACTCAAGGTGATGTCAGTGAAAAAGATAAGGAGTGTAAATTAGTAGAGGGTGAAGAAATGATAAAGAGAATGGCAATGGTGGACAGTAGTAACACACTGTAAGAATTATTCAATAATAAATACAAAGCTCCCACAGGACTCTGTACTCGGACCTATGCTGTTTCTGATATACGTAAATAATCTCCCAGAGGGTATAGACTCATTCCTCTCAATGTTAGCTGACGACACCAAAATTATGAGAAGGATTAAGACAGAAGAGGACAGCTTGAGGCTTCAAGAAGACCTGGACAAGTTGCAGGAATGGTCGAACAAATGGTTGTTAGAGTTTAACCCAAGCAAATGTAATGTAAAGAAGATAGGTGAAGGGAGCAAGAGACCAGATACAAGGTATCATTTGGGAAATGAAATACTTCAAGAGTCAGAGAGAGAGAAAGACCTGGGGGTTGATATCACGCCAGACTTGTCCCCTGAAGCTCATATCAAGAGGATAACATCAGCGTCATATGCCAGGTTGGCTAACATAAGAACGGCCTTTAGAAACTTGTGTAAGGAATCATGGTTGGGCTAGTTGGCCAATGGTTTAGCGTGGGGAGTGTCGTGCGCAGTGTCAGTAGGCGTACGGAGTCGTGCGCAGTGTCAGTAGGCGTGGGGGGGGAGCGGCCAACAGACTAAGAGAGTGAGGAAGGGGAGTTGCCACCACAAACATTCGCACACACACAGCCACCATGACCACCAACGAGGTAAGTCAACCCCTTCCTTTGTATTACACCCCCCCCCCCCTCTTCAGCTGCGCCTCTTGTAGGCCTACTGTAAGCTTACTCGTCTCAATAAGCTGACTAAGAGAGTAGGCAGTTCGTATATCCAGCCGACACGGTTTTCATTTAAAGTGGCAGCGTCAATAACATTTATAAGTGAAGATTTTCATAAATATTAGGATTCCGTCAATATTTGACTTATCTGTATTGCAACAGCAGTAATAGGCGAATCCCGATTTATAATCCTGACTGATTTAAGATTTATTCATTATATACTATTTGCTGTAGGTGTTATACTGTCGAGCGCAGTTTGTAAGATCAAAATTATCTTTCATAGGAAAGATGGATTTTTGGTGTTCAGCGTGTCCACTCGTCATGTGGGTTTATATGCATTTTCGCATGCAGGCCCTATGCTAAATTTTATGTATATTGTGTGATGGTTATATATCTATCAAGTAAGTTCAAGTATGTTTATTGAGACAAGAAAGAAATACATCTCAAAGGGATAGAGTAGCTTAGGCTATTTCTACCCTCCTCTACTTCAAGTCCCTCAAGGGGCTCACAAATTCAGTAAGTACAACCATATCCATTATATTATTATTATACTATGAACGGTCCATACATAAAGTAGTATGCAGAGTCCATACATAACGTGGCATGAATAGCGTGTATATGTAATCTAACACTATACAATATCATTGACTGGGGGTTGAGGCTTCAAAGACCTTACCAAGCCAAGGGGGTAGATGTGCGGTCACCCAGCCAGTTAGTGACCAGATTCAACGGTGTTTAACCAACGGATAGTCGAGGCAAAGTAATGATCAGGAGAAAGTGCTGAGACATTACGACTACTTAACACTTGGAAGGGATATGATGATGAAGATTTGGAATGGGACGAAGGGAAGGAACGGTACCCAATCCCCTTGGACGTTTGGGGATTGAACTCCGACCTGCAAGAAGCAAGACCGTCGCTCTACCGTCCACTCCAAGTGGTTGGGCTATTGGAGCAACTTTCAAGTAATCCACAACACCACCCTTAATATGCCATAATATGCCGTGAATGGAGTTTATGTAATATAACCTGAACAATGTGTATATCTATTTTATTGTGTGGGTTTACCTGGTCATATAGACTAATGTGTGTATAGCCTCGTTTGTATACTCATTTTATACACAATTTTTTCTGAGAATTAATGGCTGTGTTTGCTGATCAATACTGGAGGATGAACGACCTTGAACGAGTGACCCTGAACGCACATGCTTTCCTTATGTGTATTAATGTGTACTGATGTATTTAACCAGAATACTGTCAAGTAGAGTATATTTCCGGCCTCATTTTCATCATTTGAACTGATGCGCGCGTGTGTATTTACTATTACTATTTACTATCTGTGTCTGCAGAGTCGAACTATTAGCTCTTGGACCCCGCCTTTCTAACCAATCTATTTTTCCTCTATTATGTTTACTACATATATTTCTCTCTAACACACGCGCGCACACATCCCCAGGAAGCAGCCCGTAGCAGCTGTTTAACTCCCAGGTACCTATTTACTGCTAGGTGAACAGGCCACCAGGCCTGTGTAGTGTAAGGGTGAAAGAAACTTTGCCCATTTGTTTCCGCCTCCGCCGGGAATCGAACCCGGGCCATTAGGACTCCTGTGTGTGTGTGTGTGTGTGTGTGTGTGTGTGTGTGTGTGTGTGTGTGTGTGTGTGTGTGTGTGTGTGTGTGTGTGTGTGTGTGTGTGTGTGTGCGTGCGTGCGTGTGTGATATTGATCTGTGCTCCAGTCCTGGCATGCTCGGGCGATGATGTGGCTGCGAGGGGCATTCGTGATAACAATGGTTGTGAATTTGACTGGGGTTGGACAGATGGGTGGATGGGTGGAGGGCGGAAGGAAGGTAGTGAGTCTAAATTCCTCAATAACTTCCGCATAACTGGAGTTCCAAGCTCCACGTGTCGGGTACACATAAGCCTAACATGTGTATATATACACACTGGCTGCTTGTCCCAGACAGGCAGCCAGTCGGGGACAGGAAAGTAATTACTCATAGGATAATGTAAAGGTGGATTTAAAGGCTTGATGGCCCCCTAATAAATGGGCAGAATTATGCTATTCATATTTTGACACATGGAATTTGGCTTTACATCTGCTCGTGTCAAAAAAAAATTACTCATTATGAGTTTCCTGGAACCCCGCAGCAGGTTTAATGTGCGAACTTCAACCGTTCATGAATAACTTCTGCTAAGCAATCAACTTCTGAGGTCATAACAGCAAATTCTGTTGCTAGTTCTACAGCTATTGCAAGTGAACATGAGGGATCGTCACGATAATACCGGGCCTGGAATAATGAATGTCCACATCAGACTCTTATAGCTTAAGCTTATACAAAATACGACACGGAATCCCATATAGGGCAAGTATGGAAATGCACCTTCCTGAGTAGTTTTGTGTAAGAAGCTATCTTGTTCCACCGTTCCCTAAGGGAGTTTAGCTTGATGCTCGCTCACACGTAGTCCACCACCCACAGTCCTGGGCTTCTGCTACACAGTGCATCACTGCTGCAAAACCAGTAGGTCAAACAACCTGTCCTCTTAAAAAGACCGTCGCTTTTGGCGACGTTCATTTCATTTCGTCGACTTTTGGCGATTTCATTTCAAATTACGTCCAAATTTGGCCATAGCGCGCATACGGGCCAAAAGTGACGTTATTTTTAAGACGGGTTGGTGTATGTGCGAGGTCATTCCTGGTCTTCATAACAGGACTGATGGGTGACCACCCAAAGTATTCACATCTAAATAGAGAACATAGCGTCAGAAGCGTGGCTAAAGAAGACAAAGGTTGTGGGTTAACACGCTGGTGGTGAAGAGGTGGGAAGAGTTAGGGGAGTGAAGGCAGTCTCCATATATGGATTTACAAGCATACATGATTGAAACCAAGGAGCTATACGTAGCACACCGGTCGATTGGCAGTTAGGAGGTAGGTCCGGGTGGTGCCTGCTCACAGTGAAGGCTCACAGACAGGTGAGTACAGCTAGGCGAGTACATACACACACACCGCCTCAAAATACAGTGAAGGTACACAGTCAAGGGGGGGGGGAGAAGCGTCAAGCCATTACGGCTATATAGCACTGGGAAGGGGGTCAGGATAAGGGTTTGGGATAGGACGGGGGGGGGGGGGGAAGGAATGGCGCTCAACCACTTGGACGGTCGGGGATTGAACACCGACCTACATGAAACAAGACCGTCGCTCTATCGTCCAGCCCAAGCGGAAGGTACACAAGTGTTTTGTTAAGTAAGGTCAGGGAGCAGAGTTGCTCTGGTCACCGTTACTAACAACACTACATGATCAATACTGGTGTGTTGGGGGCTCCTCACACCTATCCACGTCTGCCCTATCCTCCATCCTAAATGCCCCATTACTACATGGAACTGTATATGAAGTTTCAAGCGTGGAAACACTCTACAAAATGTAGAGATTACCAGTTGGCGTGAGAGTAATCCTTTCCGTTTAAATAATGTACGAGAAACTTAGATTATTAATCTAATTATTTATGGTTATGTGGCCGCTGACTATGGAACCGAATATATCGACTATTTTGCTCGGGAACGAGATTTCGCTACACAAAAAGGATCGAATAAAAAGTTACTAGTTTCGAATGTTGCTGCCGCTGGTTATGTTGGTGGAGGAATGCATATACACATTCTTAACATAAACACATGTTTTCTGTTTGAAAAGCAGTAAGAAAGGTAGAGAGAGAAAGAGAGTGAGAAAGCTAGAGAGAGAAAGTGAGTGAGAAAGCTAGAGAGACAGTGAGTGAGAAAGCTAGAGAGAAAGTGAGTGAGAAAGCTAGAGAGAGAAAGTGAGTGAGAAAGCTAGAGAGAGAAAGTGAGTGAGAAAGCTTGATAGAGAAAGTGAGTGAGAAAGCTAGCGAGAGAAAGTGAGTGAGAAAGCTAGAGAGAGAAAGTGAGTGAGAAAGCTAGCGAGAGAAAGTGAGTGAGAAAGCTAGAGAGAGAAAGTGAGTGAGAAAGCTAGAGAAAGTGAGTGAGAAAGCTAGAGAGAGAGAGCAAGGGAGTGAGTGTGTCCCCGCGCGTGTGAATATGTATATGTGTGACTCAGCGGTCAGCCAACAACTACCTCGTACCACTTTGAGCACTCGTTAGACCTTAGTATAGCCCCCCCCATCCCCTATAACAAGTGACCACACTTACCCATCTTCTTCAGGCATCAATCACGCCCAAGAGCGACTTCGACCCCGAGAAGTCGTGCAAGAGGCTGCGCAAGGCGATGAAAGGACTCGGCACGGACTCCAACGTTATCATCCAAGAGCTCGTCAGCCACCAGAACCTGCAGCGACAGGAGATTGTCGAGAAATATACAGATATGTTCGGACGAGTGAGTACGATGGAGCGCCCACCTGGGCATATCATCTCCAGTGTCTGAAATTGTTGTTTATAATACCCATCCGCCACAGGATCTGATCCTCGGCTCATTATCCTCTACAGGACCTAATTCTTGGTTGTTCTCCTTTATAGGACTTGATTTTGTCAATTTTGCTTCTTCGGCCAGTCATAGAATAGGATGATGGGTGGTGACTCTCCACGTGACGGAGTTCTATATCTTTCAACTTTCGCAGGATCTGAAGGAGGACTTAAAGAGCGAGTTGGGCGGGAACTTCGAGGAGGCCGTCCTGGCAATGCTCGACAGTCCATATGACCTCCTGGTAGACGCCCTCCACGACGCTTTCAAGGTAGGTCTTCCCCTCCATATCTCCCCCTCACCATGGTAGGCCCTCAACCTCCCCAGCATCTTCCCCACCACGGAAAGTTCTTACTCCCAACAAGATTGGTACTTAAACCTACCATGGTAGGTAGATCATCAGCCTCTCTCTACCATAGAAGGTTCTCGCCCTCACAATGGTAGACCTCTCAATCATTCTTCCCCCCCCCCGCCTGTCACCCCCCCCCCACCCCCCACCCTCTCACCCTCCAGCCATGTTAGTGCGTGTGACTAACGCTGCCTCGCCTCCCTCAGGCACCCGGCACGGACGAGAAAGTCATCATCGACATCCTCTGCTGCCGCACTCCTGATGAGATCGAACAGCTCCGACAGCATTATGAGCTGAGTGAGTGAGTGAGTGAGTGAGTGAGTGAGTGAGTGAGTGAGTGAGTGAGTGAGTGAGTGAGTGAGTGAGTGAGTGAGTGCATTAAAGGGCTCAGGCGCACAGTTCTCTCCTCGTTAATCCTGTTACTAACAAGTTTGTAACTTGACACTCCAGTTAATTCTTAATAGAAACAAAATAATTAGCTCATCAAACAAACGAGTTTACAGCATCAGGCATCAGATGAGCTGATGCAGGATATCAGCTTAGCTTGCAGTTTCAAACAGGAACATCAGCTCAATGAATTGTTTATATAAAGCGAGAACAACATCTTCCCAAAGCATAATCTCCCTCCCCCCCACCACCACCACCACCCGCCATTACAACCATCACCTGGGTGACCCCACAGAGTACGGCACTGCCCTGGACGACGAGCTGGAAGCTGACCTCTCGGGAGATTTCCAGATGTTGATGCGAAGCCTGGTAGCTGCCGGTAGAGACGAGAGCGAGACCGTCGACTCGCCCACCGCCATCAGCGACGCTCAGGTCAGTCCCCCCTTAACAATGCAAAAAGAAAACGTTCATAAGCCCTAACTAATACCGTTTTCAATACAGATTGAGGCGGTTTACAATACAATACAATACAATTTTATTTAGGTAAGGTACATACATACAATAAATATTTACAAGGATTGTTTAACTTATAGGTAGAGCTAGTACATACAATGCCTAAAGCCACTATTACGCAAAGCGTTTCGGGCATGATAAACTTAAATGACAAGCTTAATACTAATTGAGCATAATGAGTAGAATGAAAACAAGAAATGAAAACATAGATGAAAAAGCAGCACAAATACAATTATGTCGACAAACAGCGCTCTTTAAAGAAAAAAAACAGACATTGGTTGACAATAGAAGGGTAAGGTAGGTTACAGGGAATTTATTAGGTATAGCTTCGCTTTTAACTTAAACTGGTTGAGAGAGGTACAGTCTTTAACATGGTTGGGAAGGTCATTCCACATTCTGGGTCCCTTGATTTGTAGAGCATTTCTAGTTTGATTAAGTCGTACTCTAGGAATATCAAAACTGTATTTATTTCTGGTGTGATGCTCATGGGTTCTGATACAACCTTCTATGAAGCTTTTGAGATCAGGATTGGCATTATAGTTTAGCGTTTTATATATGTATAATACACATGAGAGAATGTGCAGTGACTTAATGTCTAACATATTCAGAGATTTAAGTAGGGGTACCGAGTGGTGTCTGGGGCCAGAATTGGATATTGTCCTAATAGCAGCTTTGTGTTGAGTAATTAGAGGACGTAAGTGATTTTGGGTAGTAGAGCCCCAAGCACAAATACCATAGTTGAGATATGGATAGATAAGGGAGTAATAGAGAGTCACCAGGGCAGGGCGTGGTACATAATATCTGATCTTAGAAAGAATGCCCACAGTTTTTGAAACTTTTTTGATATGTTTAGAATGTGTCCCTGGAAATTCAGCTTGTGGTCAATGAGAATGCCAAGGAATTTGCCATCTAATTTGTTACAAATTTGGGTATTGTTTATTTTGAGATTTATTTGATTAGAGGATTTATTGCCAAACAGAATATAAAAGGTTTTGTCAATGTTAAGGGTGAGTTTGTTGGCAGTTAGCCACAGATGGACTTTATTTAGCTCAGTATTTACTGTGGCATTTAGAGCAAGGGGATCAGGACTGGAGTAAATGAAGGTTGTGTCGTCAGCAAATAGAATTGGTTTGAGGTGTTGGGAGGCATTTGGAAGGTCATTAATGTAGATGAGAAAGAGGAGAGGGCCAAGTATGCTGCCCTGGGGAACACCAATGTTGATGGGTAGGGTGGGAGAAATTGTATTATTCACAGAAACATATTGGAGCCTGTCAGTAAGGTAGGATTTGAGGTATTGTAGGGAGTGTCCTCTGACTCCATAATGATGTAATTTAAGAAGAAGGTTTTGGTGGTTGACAGTGTCAAAAGCTTTACGCAGGTCCACAAACAACCCAACAGAGAACTCATTTTTATCAAGAGCTGTATGAATCGAGTTAAGCATACTAATAAGTGCATCGTTAGTGCTTTTTTTGGGTCTGAAGCCATATTGGCAAGGGCTAAGTATATTGAGTTTGGCTAGATATGAGTAAAGCTGCTTATAGATTAGTTTTTCAAAATTTTTGACAAGTTTGGCAGGATAGATATAGGTCTGTAGTTGTTAACATCTGTGAGATTACCACATTTGTGGACAGGATAACACTAGTTGTAATTAGTGTACAGTATTTGTGATTTGTCGTTTTTGTATAAATATAATAAGATCCTTTACTTCTTTTAGTTGTTCTGTTCTTAGCAATTCTTACGTAAAGCAAAATCAGACTATTGACGTCTTTTGAAGTCATACTGGTAGGTAACTTATTCTACAGCCTATCATAGGAAATTCACTCATTGGCATGGATTGAGAACGACTACATAATTAGTGCTATTATCTACTCTCTATCCATGGTTAGGTAAGGTTAACGTTACTTTAGATTAAGGTTTGATTATGTTACGTTAGGTTTCATTACGTTTCGTTACGTTAATACAGTGTATTATTGACGATACTGAGAAATATGGAATTCGAAAACTATTTCAGTGTACCCGAGAATTCCGTTTACAGAAAACCCAAATTCTTAAAAGAAACCAGTTTTCAGCATAAACGTTTTATATTTTAAACAAACGCTTTATAATATAATAAAGTTATAACTTGATAATAATCTCTCTTTAGGATAAAGGCTCACTTCCCAGTTTACATGTAGACTATTACTGGAACCACAATATGCTTTCAGACTATCACATATATCGACGATTTGAAGAGGGGAGGGTTGTGGTTTCTCATGGTAATGGATTCGTTCCATGAACGGGCTCTAATTCTAATAGGACTGGTGGTGCTAATGATTTTGGCAGTCTCGCAAAGGGAGGTAATGGGGACATATTCCCCCCCCCCAATTCTTTTCTATGATTACAAACTTCCCCACTGAGGAGTCCGTAATCGCAAACAGTTCAAGAACTCCTGCGCTAGTTTTTATACACGGTGCTTTTAGTTTTTTGCTTTAAGATTTATTTTTAATTAGCAGTCACAAAGTAATAATTGTGTGTGTTGGCCTATAAGCAATCACGTCATTTAATGACTCATCCAACCTCCCCACTTACTAAACTCCCAACGATCCTCACTGACTCCCTTTTAGCTCAACTCTCGCACTCAACCCTCCACCCCCCTCACTCAACCCCACACCCTCCTCACTCAACCCCCCAACACTCACTCCGCCGCCTGGCCCCCCACAGACCCTCTACGACGCCGGAGTGGGCAAGAACAGCGACACAGACGAGGAAGAGTTCATCAGGGTGTTGAACATGCGCAGCTTCCCCCAGCTGAAGGAGACCTTCCAGGAGTACGAGCGCCTGGCCGGGGCGCCCATAGAGGACGCCATAAGTCAAGAGTTCACCGGTGACATGAAGTCCGGGCTACTGGCTATTGGTGAGATTCTTGCTACACAGTCTTCCCCGGCGGCTTGGTGCCTTCTCTTGGCGCTTGATGGATGGATGGATAGATGGATGGTTGTCAGTCAGTCAGGCTCTCGCGAGACTCGCCCTGTGTGTGTGTGAGTGTTTTTGTCTATTGGTGTCTTCAGGGTTATCTTGAGGTTATCTTGAGATGATTTCGGGGCTTTAGTGTCCCCGCGGCCCGGTCCTCGACCAGGCCTCTGGTAGGTAACAGGGGCATCAGGGTGAAAGAAACTCTGCCCATCGTTTCTCGCCGGCGCCCGGGATCGAACCCGAGACCACAGGATCACGCGTCCAGTGTTCTGTCCGCTCAGCCACTGGCTCCCCTATTAGCTATTAGGGTGGAGCTATTAGCTCTTGGATTCCGCCTTTCCAACCATCGGATGACTAATGTGTTGACACAAAATCTATTTTTTCTATACCTTCTACATATATAAGGGTAAGTATGTTTATATCTACACCCACGTCAACATCTGCCTACCCACTGTACCCATATTAACACCCGCGTGTCCAGAACACCCATATGAACACCTGCATGTCCCCCAACACCCGTAACACCCGCGTGTCCTCCACAGTTCAGCGGGTGAAGGATCCTCTTGGGTACTACGCTGAGAGGCTCCGGGCGACTATGGTGGGTCCCGGCACTGACGACACCACACTTATCCGTATCCTCGTCTCCCGCTCTGAGGTGAGGTGCCAGGGTGTAGGGTGTAGGGGTGGGGACAGGGTGTAGGGTGTAGGGGTGGGGACAGGGTGTAGGTGAGGTGCCAGGGTGTAGGGTGTAGGGGTGGGGACAGGGTGTAGGGTGTAGGGGTGGGGACAGGGTGTAGGGTGTAGGGGTGGGGACAGGGTGTAGGGTGAGGCGCTTGTCACGTAGGGTAGGGGAACCAGGGTGTAGGGGTGGAACATCAGATTATTCCAATTACTACATAGTTAGCAAGTAGTTAGTAAGCGGTTGGCAAGTATAAAAGATGAACTTTTGACAAAAGATTACACGTAATTAAATCACTCGTTATTCTCACTAAACTCTCTGGCTACCATTCCATAAAGGAACCAGTATATATCGTCTTGTAGACCGACTGGTCACTAATGCTTGCAAGAAAGAGAATAGTGTCTTCGGACACTATAATCTGTTATTAAAAAACATGTAAACACGAAGACTGAATTCAGATTTAGAAGTCTGAGATACAGAAAGACCTGAATCAACAACCTGTCCTCTTAAAAAGAACGTCGCTTTTGGCCGTTTGTCCGTATGGCCGAATTTGGACGTAATTTGAAAATGAAAAAAATATGAAAATAAATTTGGGATTTTTTTTTCAACAACAGTAAGTTAAGGGTCCTCTGATAGGTTAGGTGGGCAGGACATTCTCATAAAGTTTCAAAACGTTATGAAAAACGTTAATTTAAAGTGTCCTCTTATAACCTCTGCGCGTACGCCGGACGACTCAAATAGAAAACGGAACAGAACGTCACTTTTGTGAGTCGATTTCATTTCAAATTACGTCCAAATTTGGCCATAGCGCGCATACGGGCCAAAAGTGACGTTATTTTTAAGAGGACGGGTTGGAATCAAAGCCTAGATCACGTTTGCAAAAATATAGATAGATTAATGAAGCCTGCAATGTGATATAGGCAAACCATCTTCCCCAAAATGATACCACAGTACTTTCCCAAAAATGATAGCACAGTACCTATAGCAACAATTTGCTGGAACGTGCAAAAATAGACTGTTGTACCCCCAAAAGTGAACATGTACTGTTTAACTACCACAAAGGGATACCCAAAATTGGTATAGGATGTATACAAACTAACCTCCCCTAGGCCTAATATATGTCATCTTAAAACTATTTAAGCACATATATGGATCCATATACAATGTTTGGTTAGGTTGTCTTTCTCGTGCGCTAAACAAAATTAATATTACAAAACGTGCTTTTTCGGAGGTACATCAGTCCTTTTTTTGTACATTCCATGAATAGTTGCTGCAAGAACTGTCCTTTATGGATGACAGGACAGGTGGACGCTGTCCCTGTCTATATTAGGCTTGGCAACAGCCACATCTGGATTACGGGCTCACCATAGCCCGTGCTACATGGACATGATGTTCCGAGTAGCTAAATATAAAACAACAACATATTCGTAACTCACACTATTCAGCGTGTAAGCTCTGACGATTCACTAAAACATTCACTCGAGCACTATACTGCTGAGTGGGGAAACTGTAGGAAATTTCTTGGGGGGGGGGGGGGGTGGGTAGAAATAACCTAAGCTACTCTATCCCTTTGAGATGTATTTTTTTTCCTTGTCTCAATAAACTTACTTGTAGGAAATTATACAACTTGTCTGCATCATCATGTAGGGAGCCATGTCTTTGAATCTAATGTCTTGAAACACATTTTAATCATCTATTTTATATTTGCTTAGCTATTGTATGTACACGCTCAGTAAACTGGACCAATGCACTCCAGATGTGTGTGTATATATATATATATATATATATATATATATATATATATATATATATATATATATATATATATATATATATATTATGTATCCTTGAGACGTTCTGATGTGTAAATTTCTGTCCTGTGTGGCAGTGAATAGTCATGACACCCAATTTAATTACTCAATATTAGACAGAAACTGTATTTAAAGTGTCAATGAAGATATACAAGTGAAATTGAAATTGAAATTGAAATAAGTTTATTGAAGTAAAATACACACAAAAGGGATGAGGTAGCTCAAGCTATTCTCACCCCGTTATACAAGTGATTGAATTATATTCTCTGAGCTGATCCCTCTGGTCTTGTCCCCTGCTGGACTCACCTCCCGGACCCTCGACGTGTGCAGATCGACCTGGCGGACATCCGCACCCGGTACAAGGAGATGTACAACGAGGAGCTGGTGGAGGCCGTGAAGGAGGACACACGAGGCGAGTACTGCAAGCTCCTGGTCGCCATCATCGGCAAGTGAACCACCACCACCTTCAGGGCTCCTCCCAGACTGCGCCTCATCAAGACTATAAGTTGCACTTGCACCAGGTCGTGTGTTCTAACAAGCGGTCATGAAGTTATGTTATTTTTGCTCTGCTGGATTTATTTTTGGCGTTTCATGCCTTGAAGGGTTTTCTATGAAGCTTTTCAAGGTAAACTAAAATATTTACAATTAATTAGTATGTCACATATGCACTTATTAAATAAGCCAATATTGACTGTAAGCAAGTGCGAGAACGGGTTGGTACACTATGGCATTTGTGTATCAGTTTTTTCGCCGCATGTCCTTACTAGGATTTCGCACCAGAGTCGTACCACATTTTGGTAACCGATCATTCGTACGAGAATTTGGCGCCAAATGTTCGCAGTAGATTTTGACGTGTAACACAATAGACTTCGTGAAATATTTTGGCGCCAGCCTCAGTGTGTTCTGGAACACAACCGCTTGAATTTTAAACTCTTAACACGTGCAGGTAAAGGACCTTGGACAAGCCGCCGGCTTCCTGTCATCTTCGAGGCCGCCACTAGTGTTGGTGGTTCTCAGGTAATTTTTTTGATACCAGCTTACATATATGACTTGGCAGAGCGACTCTGAAAATAACATAATGTCTTTAGTATTCCTTAAGGTGACGCCTGCCTCTAGTGCCTCTCATGTACACTAAGGTGACGCCTGCCTCTAGTGCCTCTCATGTACACTAAGGTGACGCCTGCCTCTAGTGCCTCTCATGTACACTAAGGTGACGCCTGCCTCTAGTGCCTCTCATGTACACTAAGGTGACGCCTGCCTCTAGTGCCTCTCATGTACACTAAGGTGACGCCTGCCTCTAGTGCCTCTCATGTACACTAAGGTGACGCCTGCCTCTAGTGCCTCTCATGTACACTAAGGTGACGCCTGCCTCTAGTGCCTCTCATGTACACTAAGGTGACGCCTGCCTCTTGTGCCTCTCATGTACACTAAGGTGACGCCTGCCTCTTGTGCCTCTCATGTACACTAAAGTGACGCCTGCCTCTAGTGCCTCTCATGTACACTAAGGTGACGCCTGCCTCTAGTGCCTCTCATGTACACTAAGGTGACGCCTGCCTCTAGTGCCTCTCATGTACACTAAGGTGACGCCTGCCTCTAGTGCCTCTCATGTACACTAAGGTGACGCCTGCCTCTAGTGCCTCTCATGTACACTAAGGTGACGCCTGCCTCTTGTGCCTCTCATGTACACTAAGGTGACGCCTGCCTCTAGTGCCTCTCATGTACACTAAGGTGACGCCTGCCTCTAGTGCCTCTCATGTACACTAAGGTGACGCCTGCCTCTAGTGCCTCTCATGTACACTAAGGTGACGCCTGCCTCTTGTGCCTCTCATGTACACTAAGGTGACGCCTGCCTCTTGTGCCTCTCATGTACACTAAGGTGACGCCTGCCTCTAGTGCCTCTCATGTACACTAAGGTGACGCCTGCCTCTAGTGCCTCTCATGTACACTAAGGTGACGCCTGCCTCTAGTGCCTCTCATGTACACTAAGGTGACGCCTGCCTCTAGTGCCTCTCTTGTAGTGTTATCCACAGTTTGGTCAAAATAATGGTTTGTGATGAGGGATTTGCAAACTTTTATGTCATAATGGTTAGTTTTATTACCCTGATGTTAATGTACCTAAGGTGAAGATGGGCCACTGTCAAGGTGGGCCACTGTCAAGGTGGGCCACTGTCAAGGTGGACCACTGTCAAGGTGGACCACTGTCAAGGTGAGCCACTGTCAAGGTGAGCCACTGTCAAGGTGGACCACTGTCAAGGTGGGCCACTGTCAAGGTGGACCACTGTCAAGGTGGGCCACTGTCAAGGTGGACCACTGTCAAGGTGAGCCACTGTCAAGGTGGACCACTGTCAAGGTGAGCCACTGTCAAGGCGAACCACTGTCAAGGTGGACCACTGTCAAGAATATGTACGATATTCACGACCTACAAGAATATAATAAATCATGCAAAATACATTTTGAAATATGCAAATCACAAAAACAAATGCAAATCACCACTCTCTTGGCCTGTGTGTTCCTATGTTACTCTTTTGTTTCTGTCTCCCTTCCGACCTCTTCCTCCCCCCCCCCCTATGTACCCTCCATAGGGGTATCCTCTCACCTACCTTACTTCCCCCTATCTCTACCCTACTCCCTACCCATACTCTCCACTTCCTTCAACCCTCCGCTTTCCTGTACCTTCACCTGTATGTACCCTCTCTAGGCAGTATCATGTGTCCGGTCTCCTGGTCCCAGCACCAAGTTTCATTACACTTGCTCAAGTTAAACTCTAGTGTCCACGTTCTGGACCATTCTTATTTGTCCAGATCATTCTGAAGATTCTTGCTGTCTTCCGGCGCATTTTTCCTCCTGTAACTTTCACATCAACAGGGAACCTGAAGAGGACAGAGTCTATCTCCTCTGGTAAGTTATTCACATTGATGAGGACAAGGATTTGTCCGAAACGCTTTGCGTAGTACTTTTTTTTTTGAGATATATACAAGAGTTGTTACATTCTTGTACAGCCACTAGTACGCGTAGCGTTTCGGGCAAGTCCTTAATCCTATGGTCCCTGGAATACGATCCCCTGCCGCGAAGAATCGTTTTTTCATCCAAGTACACATTTTACTGTTGCGTTAAACAGAGGCTATAGTTAAGGAATTGCGCCCAGTAAATCCTCCCCGGCCAGGATACGAACCCATGACATAGCGCTCGCGGAACGCCAGGCGAGTGTCTTACCACTACACCACGCAGACTGTATTAAACTGTACTGGTATGTGAGGGAGCACATATACACTACATATATTCTTGACCGGCTCATGTGTGGCTCATAATGTCAGCTGCACCCCTGGTAACACCAACAGCGTCCAGCCTGCTGTTTGGTTTAAAACGCGCCAAGACACCAGAGACACAAGGAGATAACCTATCAGCGATAAGATGTCTAAGGAGAGTGATTACGTCAAGATAAAGGGAGGGTGGTGGGTGGAAGGCGTCTGGTCGTCTCGACCAGTGTAACCTACACACCACCTGCACCCTGTACCTGTACCTTGCCCTCTACGGCACGCCCAGGTAAGTCTCCACCTTCCTGCCTCACACCACTACCATACCTCACTCTCAGAGCACCCGGTACCTCGCGCACCACCACAACTCCCCCATGGTTCATGGCTACTGAAGTGCTTGTGTAAAGGAACACATGTATTATCAATCAGAAAGTTTGGCAATATGTTTGCTTGTGATGTATGTCTATATATATATATATATATATATATATATATATATATATATATATATATATATATATATATATATATATATATATGGACACGTTGTACTGAACGGGGTGAGAATAGCTTGAGCCGCCTCATCCCTTTGTTGGGTATTAATACCTCAGTAAACTTATTTCAAATTCAATGCCTATTGACACGCATACCACCAAACATCTTGCCCCGCTCCTGTGCCAGGTAAGCTACGGGCTCACCATAGCCCGTGCTACTTGAAACTTGTTCCGAGTAGCTGAATCTATTACAACGACAAACATCTCAAAACTGGTGACCATTCCCCCACACACTACCATCACAATTTACTACCCAACCTTCAAATTACTGAACTACTATGGATGGACTATGCAAAATATAAACTATTGTACTATTGGAATACCAAAGAGCATTAACAAAAGTGTACAGTTACCTATAACCTAGACCTAAATATTCAATCCGAGGCCTAATATATGGAATAATAAGCCACATTTAGTACATATATACTTTACAAGACCAAGGAAGAGTTAGGCTTTGTCTCCCGTTGTCTCTACAAAATGTACAGTAAACACTATGGACTTGTTCTGTGTGCAACCGTTCGTATTGTGTACGTTCCGTCCACACTGACCGTTGGTACTGTCCCTGGGTGAGTTATATGTGTCACCTGCAGGTATATAGCGCCGTGCTGGTGTGGGGTGCCTGGTGCCCAGTGGTCGTCCACACGACCCTGGTGCCCAGTGGTCGTCCACACGACCCTGGTGCCCAGTGGTCGTCCACACGACCCTGGTGCCCAGTGGTCGTCCACACGACCCTGGTGCCCAGTGGTCGTCCACACTGACACCTTGCCGAATCGAACTATTCTACCCCGTCTTCCGTCGGAAATCAAATGACTTAAAAAACTCGAATGTTATTGAAAAGGAGTTATGGAGGGAGGACATGTTGATGCACTGCTCACATGATAGCAACTTGTTGCTTGTCTTGGACTAATATACCAGTTGCTAGGCTGTCCACATACCAAAAGCCTCTTGATAAATACTAGGCAGCCTTCTCTTCAGGTTAACTCGAGGGAAGCTCCGCATGAAAGCAGTTTAGCTTGTTAATGGCAAAGCTTTGTTAATATACTGTGTTACCATGTCCTGGTAAGACTATATTAAGCCCAGGTAAGCTAAGGTAGGTCAAGGCCCACACTTCTGTGTAGGTTCAGTCTCTAACTTCCTGGGGCCAGATTCACAAAGCAGTTACGCAAGCACTTACGAACCTGTGCATCTTTCCTCAATCTTTGACGGCTTTGGTTACATTTATCAAACAGTTTACAAGCATGATAACTACCCAATCACCTGTTGTTATTGTTATAAACAGCCTCCTGGTGCTTTGGAGCTCATTAACTGTTTAATAATTGTAAACAAAGCCGCCAAAGATTGATAAAAGATGTATAGGTTCGTAAGTGCTTGCGTAACTGCTTCGTGAATCTGGCCCCTGGTCTTTATTATGCCAATAAGACGACTTATGGACCATTGTGTTTCTATAACACTTCTTAGATCGTACACGAGCCCAAGACCCAGAGTGTGTATTGGTTTAAGAGGCGGAGTGGTTGTGATAATGGCAGTTGTGTGGAGCATCTGGAATCATCCTGGACGTAGGTTCGAACCCTCATCACGGCTCTTGTGGATTTGTTCATATGGAGCATCGTTTAGGCAACTTATGCAAAGTTCTCCATGTCGGCTTGGGTGATTAAACAGGGGAGTGGGGGGGGTAAGGGGTCTAAAACCTCGGGGAGGTATAAGATAAGAGTTTTGACTAAGTGGCTGTTGAGGACGTGAGGTGATACTAGGGATAAGAGCCTCTTTGTTAATTACCTCTTGTCTAGTAACCCTCTCTCACCCCCCCCTTACCCCTACTGCTACCCACCATCCAGCACCTCACATACACCCCCTCACTGCTTCACTGTCCCCAAATCAGCAGCCACAGACTGGTGAAACACATGGAAGAGCAACAAGAGTATATCATGCAATCAGAGAGTTCCCCCCCCCCTCATACAGCTATAACCCTGATCCGTTTAGTTTTGTTTTGTTTTTCTACACAGGTGGGTAGAGGGACAGACGACTGCTGACTCCTGTTAGCAGGCCAAGAGCTGCCCCTTCCCACAGCTCATGGTAAGCCTTACCCACTAGTTTTCCTGGAATACGACCCGCCAATTCGTTTAACAACCAGGTACCCATTCACTGCTGTGTGAACAGAGCCGTACAGTTAACGATTGGCTCCTAGTCAATCCTCCCCCGGCCAGGTTACGAACCCAGGCCAAATAAATCGCTGGCGAAGCGCTGGGCAAGTGTGTTAACCACTGCGCCATAGGGACTGTGCGCATATAGCCAATATCATGACGAATGTTGAGCAATGTAATATAGTGATCAGAGATGTACTGAAAACGTTCGACAAAGTCTGGCACACACCGGCCTAAAATACAATATATGTAAACTAGGAGGTACACAGAGATGTACACCCGGACTATGGAGCTGCCCAGACAACACGCCTGTTATCTGTTGCCCAGACAACACAACAGGTAAGGTCACCACAGGAGAGCTGCCCATCACCAGTGTTGTCAACATGTACACACCTGACCCCCCCCCCCATCATGGGGACAATATGTAGAGGCTGCAACTCTACAGACCAGGATGACCAAAGACCTGACTGGTCAACACAACCAAGGCGGCAGTACAAGTCATAAACCACTCTGAAAAACCAATGGCAAATATTAACTACCAACAAATAAAAGTTCCAAATAATACACATTACAAAACGAAATCCAGAGCCCATTACCCTTGACAACCAGCGAACCCAGCACACGGAGAATACCGAGACTCGAAGTAGACCAAGAATAAAAAATCACTTAAAATTGCAGAATAAACAGCAAAAACATGCTTAGACAAAGTGAGAAGACAGAGCCACACTTATACCAGGGTGTTGACCCCCTGCACCACGCACGCCCTCCACTGCCCCTCCACACCTTAAGGACAACTAACCTGTATAAACTACAGCAGAACAAAACACGGCACTAACAACAACAGCCAAACACCGTCCACCATGTGACCAAAACAATCCAGAAGCTCCATGAAGCCCTGAACATACAACCACACGAGAGAGAGAGATATAATCTGCCATTAAAACATGTACACAAGCTTCTGAGAACGTATGGGTGAGTGTAAGTGTTCATGTAAAGATAAAAATATTTTGACATACAAGAAATAAACTTCACAAACACTTGCAGCTTCGTGTTAAGAGAATAAGCTTAGGTTAGCTACCACACACACACACACACACACACACACACACACACACACACACACACACACACACA